TCTACTACGTGAATTTGAAGCTAATTTTTTTTCGAAATAATGATCGGAAATTGTAGTAATCTGTGTTGCTGATCATGACCGACATTGACACGAAATATTTGAAGGCCGAAGGTGGAAGACGAATGGTTAGGAAGTTTGCACAAACCTAAGGGTTGTTATGCACTTTTTTAGTTTAGAAGCAAACGGGCTAATATTGTACTCGCTCTGTTCTTTTTTTTATTAGTCCCATTAGGGTTTGGCACGGGATTTAATAATAAAGTAGTAGGGTAAGTATAGAGTGTGTAGGGTAAATGATAAAGTAGGAAAGATGGTATATTAAAAAGAGTAAAATGATGATAAAGTAGGAAAGAGAGTGTATTAAGAAGAGTAAAGTGATGGTAAAGTATGAAAGAGAAAGTAGTTTGTAAAAAGTAAGTGGGGTAAAAGTAATAAAAGTGAGGGTATTTTTCTCAAAAACTTTCCTTAAAGGGAAAGGAGAGAAATAAAAAAAAACGTCCCAAAAAAAAAGGACTAATAAAAAAGAACGGAGGGAGTACTTTTATTCGGTTTGATAGTTCAACAATTTGTGTGGCTCAAAATCATTCTTACTTTATTCTTACTTTATCAATTAATATCAACCACACAAACTCACTTTTCTTAAAACCCGTGTCACCCTCCTCCGGGACATTTAAAAGGGGACGGAGGGAGTATATCTTAAATTTTGGATGATGAGGTTTTCAGGACAAAACATGACTATTACATTTTTTAGATTTTTTAAAAAGCTTTTACGGAAGGTACTTTTTTTTTGGACAATTACGGAAGGTACTTTCATCATTATTCATGGTCATGGTCTCTCTATGCAATAAAAAAAATTGATCGGTGAACATGTTAAGCATCATTTTTTTGCGGGATGTTAAGCATCAATTAATTGGTGATAATCTTCATTTTGAATATCTGGAATTCAAATGTCCTGCTCAATTTGAAGGGGGAAAATAGTGGTGGACTCGGGCCGGGTGGCCCGACCCGGAACCGGCCTGGGACCGGCACTGTTCCGGCCCGGCCCGACCCGGTGGCCCGGCCAGTGACCGGTCCGGGTAGGCCCGACCCGAGGGGTTTCCCTTCCGGGCTCGGGTCACCCAAAACATGAACCGGCCCGGCCGGTCCGGGCCCGGTTCCGGGCTTTTTTATTCAATTTTTTTTTAAATCCCCGGGTTGAGCTGGGTATTTTGGGCCATTTGGGGTGGTTTGGGGGTTGGGGTGGGGGGGGTGTCGGGGGGTAATTAGAAAAATGGAAAAAAAAATGTAAGAGACCCGAGGCCCGGCCCGGACCCGGACCGGACCCGGTGGCTATCCGGGCCGGTCCCATGCCCAACATTTCCTAACCGGCGGCCCGGTCGGGCCTAGGCTTAGCCCGAGGCCACCACTAGGGGAAATAGCCACCATAAGACCATTTACGAGGCATCTTTATATTCTCTAAACATATCTCTGGATTTGAACTCTCATGATTTAGATGATGATAGTAATTCATGGAACTGTTTTGTATTATAAAACTAGATTTACTTTTAATCTATTATTATAATAAATACTTTGTTAAAGTATTGATAATGAAATCATGCTTATACTCTTTCGATGTATAATACTACCCCCGTCCCGCAATGAAGTTCTCTTTCACTATTCATCGGTCAACTTAAATCACGCCTAATCTTTTACTTTATATTCAAATTTTTATCAAATTTAAATTTTCTTGATCAGGCTTTGTAGCGGTTATAATGTAGTTTCTGAATATGTAAATTTTGTTTACTAAAAATAATTCAAGTGTGAACAGGAATCGAGTTGCTTTATCACCAGTAAAGCATCGTAAATTGAACGGTGACTTCTTTACGGGACGGAGCGAGTATTTGGAAAGAGATCCAGTATATAGTTGTGTACAGAGCCGTGCGGTGCTTGAGGCGGATGAGGCACTGGCCTCAAGGTCCAAAAAATTGTTAAAATTTTAGGGCCCACAATTTTAGATATTTCTTTAGTATATATATGTATTAAATTTACATATTGGGCTTCCTTTTTGCCTGTTAGAGCACCAGTTAGAAAGAACCTGGAGATATCAAATCACACTCACACACACTATGTGCTGATATATGAGAAGGAAATCATATTCTATCCAGGAACTCTGCTTTTGAATTATAGGAGGATGCCTTTATATATAATAGGCATTGAAACATCATTTAATTGGAACATTAAAGATAGAACTTTCTGGGAAGTCTTTACATGTATCTAGCAACTCTTTAGTTTCCCACAATTATTTGAATTAAAACTATTTCCCAACATTGCCTATCCTTTGTCCGCTGACTCCGCTATTGTACTTCAAAAAGGAAAACCCAAAAGTCCCCCAATTACTTTTGTTCGACCAGTTTAGAAGCGGAATAGCCATCAACGTACAAATGGAAAAGGGTTTTAAGGCGATTTGCGATTCTTTTGTTCTGGCCTAGACTAATCGATCGACAACAGGGCCTTAGCTAAGGTTAATTTGCGATTCCCTTGTTCCAATCTATAGACTTAATCAATCAACATCAAGGTTCATCTTTCATCTTCTTTGCTTAGCTTCTAAATTTCTAATATTTTTTCTATTTAAAGCCATAAAAGGATTTATAGCCTACCAAATATCTGTTTAGAAGGAATTTATTGAACATCTAGAATGTCGAGTTAATTAATACTTTTGCAGCTAAAACTCTCCGGCGAGTTGTACTTAATTAGTCATTTGAATACTTTGACAGTAATGTAATTTTTATTTAATTAGTCGTTTGTATGATGTTTAATCTTCAATTTCAAAGAAAACTATAGTAAAAAAATAAATAATGTATAGGGTCTTTTATTAATTTCGACTCAGGCCCGAGTTTTGGTAAAAAAATAAATAACTTGTGTACTACCGACTACGTATATTGCGGTGCACTTTGTTGATTAATTAAGGAAGATAATTTCAATTTTAATGCAAAATATTGGAATCTCAAATTTCTTACATTTTATTTTCTTACATTTACCTATTACCTTTTAATTTATAATACTTGGAATAAATATTTCCGCCGTGCATCGCACGGGTGAGATACTAGTTCAGCTGACTAGATTGTTCATTTTTCAAATCGTAGCTATCAAAATGTGGGAATTGATCTCATGCTTTAGAAACTAATTATAATCTTTATAACATGAAGGAACAATTACAAAATCTAATAATAATGAAAAGAACAAAAGAGAAGAGGAAATGTACGGCATCGAACTTTCTTCTGAGCAATTTGGCATAACATTCCATAAATGAGATAACTGTGCTTAATTTTTAGAGTTACCCAAAGTAAAGAAAGGAAATGGATGAGTATTTAGAAGAGCATTTTGGTGTCTTTATTTCATCAGGTGTTCAAGATTTACTTCAATACCTATTCTCCACATCATTTCCACCTGCTGGAAGGGCATGCATGCAAAACTTGTGGGGGGCAACATCTTTGTGTGGAATATATCCAACATCATAGCTTGGGGAGCACACAACATGAATGGAATTCTTAATGAGAAATGGATGTCCTTCAGTAGCCCTCACCCCAAAAACATGACAAGTAACAAAAAAGTTATCAGCACCAAGGGTTCTGTTCCAGTATGGGTACTTTGCTATTAAGCTCTCTACATAGTTCTGTACAATTATCGTCATGTTCTCGTAGGATGTTCCCTGCATTTATTCAAGTCTCGATGGTAAGTTCTATAGCTTAAATAATAGTATGTATGGATTCTGAACTCAAAAATCCCAAAAAGAAGACAAAAGGCAGACATCAATAGAAGAGAACTTAAATACTATGTATAATCTTCTTAGTCCAAAACTTTTAGAAATATAAATCAGAGTTGTGAACTATGAATGGGTATAAGGCCTGTGTTGAGGATCGATTCCGTCGACGTATTCCGGCTCAGACAGTCCAGAACTCGGTTTTCCGGTTGTCTCTTATGCACACCTAGGCTAAGGGAGTAACACACCTTTCTAGCCTCGTCAACACTCACACTCACCTCACCAAGAAGGATGGATAGTTTGGTTCACTCACTGGATTCACTCTTCTCACTATGCTCACACACAAAGGGGCCAGGAAGAAAAAAGGATGAGCTGCTCTATCTCTCATCCACTCCGCATGTTACAACAAGGGTGCAAGTGCTGTCCTTATAGCATGGGATATTTGGTCTTATTAGAAGGACACTCCAACAATACACTGCACTCACAACTCATCACTAGGCAATAGTGAGTTCAATTTGAATTCTAACGGGAGAGGAAAATACTGATAAGCCAGACAGATAGATGGGTACAGTGTAGTGGGCTGCTAGAAGGTGTGTTGACCATTATTAATATAAAAAAAACGTTTGGGCCAACAATATATTAACAGCCTGGAAAGAAAACTCAAGAGCCCATTAGGTGTAAAGTTGCATAAATCTTTTTTTTAGATGATGAAATGCTAAGAGATATGGCTTATTGTGTAATGAGAAAACCTCATAAGTGTTCGAACTAGATGTAAAGGTTACTAAATAAATAGATAATCAGATACCCTTTACAATTCAAAGCTAGAATACTGATGCATCTGAGACTTTTAGGAGCATAATGATTTGTGGGTAACTAAAGTTCCTATTTGTGTGGCCAAATTCTAAGAGGCGTCTGACCAGTTCAAGTATCAAGAAGATGGCTCTCATTAAAATAGAATTGTATACTTTAAAATGTGAATTCTGACTAATCCAACAAATATGACATTTATTTTAACAGAATTTAAAAACTTTCTTAATGAAGTCTAAGTTAGAATTCATTGATGTTGAAATATTGTGTTTCAACCTGGCATGCCCTATCCCTAATCAAGTAAAGAGCCTTCTTCTCTTCAACTTTTTAGACAAATAGTAATTATTTGCAACCAAGATGTTAATTCATCCTACGTCAAAATTCAAACCCCCATACTATAAAATACCTTTGATTGACCTCTCATTATAGTGTAAGTTACTTAATACTACGTATATATGAAGACTAATAATTATTATAATAATTAGTACAAATAGCATTACCAAACGCAAGAAAATTACATGGTTTGTATTCTAGTTCTTAGTATGTTTTGCCATAAAATCAATTAGATCTTCAATGCATTTGCCATTTGACTTTGTATCTCCAAAGATCAAACTGATCCTTTGGGCATTCTCTCGGAGTTTCTTCCCCACCTCACTTTCAAGCATCACGAACCTTATTGAGTCAGCCACCGAGTCACTTGTGAACACCCCATCTTCTTCATCTCTCGGGACTTCGATGCCGACCTGGTTGTCCTCCATAACTCGAGCAGTAAATCCCTGGTCAATCAAGAAGGGAAGCATGACTAGTGGATGACCGAACGTGATTCCCTCGATGGTAGAACTCCAACCACAATGAGTCAAAAACCCGCCGATTGAGTCATGACTGAGTATGCTCTTCTGAGGTGCCCACGTCTTCCACACTACTCCCCGTCCTTTGACTCTCTCTTCGAACCCATCTGGCAAGCCCAATGATGAGTGGTTCCCTGGAGGAGTCCTCAAAGTCCAAAAGAATGGAACCCCACTCTTTTCCAACCCGCAAGCCAACTCACTGATTTGACCGAGTCCGACAACCACTTCACTCCCTAGTGCTACATAGACCACAGAGCATTTTTTGTGTCCATCTAGCCACTGTTTAATGGAAATCCAGTCTTCGTTTCTGTCAAGATCATCACTAACATGAACCGTTGGCGGCATTAACCCTGTGGGAAGCATTGGCCGGCCATCGGTAGTCTGCAGCAAACTAACCCACTTTGGCTCAAAGTCGTTGCAGTGTCGGGAGATTAGTAGGTCTGAACCTGTCTTAACAGCAGTAATCCGGTCCATATCTGTTTTAGCGGAGACCTTCTGTAGCGAGCTGAGAATCCATTTTGCCTCGTACCTGTATATAATTGTTAATTAGCATAGAAATGACTTCTACTCTTATTATATACTTGGATCTTCTCTAGTTTTTCAATACTCCCTCCATTCCAAAAAATAATTCATGCTCTCCCTTTTTGGACAATTTGTGTGGTTAACACTCATTTTACTTTTTTCTTAGACAACTACAGTCCAGTCGTACATTTCTACTTTATTCCACTTTCTTAAATATTAAGTGCGTATAGAACGTACCGCCGGAATCTAGCCTTTGTCTCAAAGGTAATGCACTTTGGGCGGGCTAAGAAGTCTTCAATCTGTAACGGTGAGGACAACCTCATCATGAAATCGGCGGAGTAGAAAGCGGAGAACCAGGGGCTAGCCGTGTTGAAGAAACACCGCGAAATTCCAAGCTTGGCAGCAACAGGCGGGATCCAGTACTGGGCGAAGTCGAAGATGATCCAATCAGGGGAGGTTCTCTCCAAGAAACGAGTCACCTCTGTTTCCATGCCATCCATGGCTTCTTTGAGGTAAGGCATCTCCTCCGGCTGAATGTCCATCGTGGCCTCCGCATTTTCCGATGAGAGCCCATCCACCGGAGGTAGCGGGATCTCGACCATGGTTATGGAGGATTCCAGGTCGGGTGGGAGCTTCGGAAGGCGATCTATGTTCCGAGGAGTGGAAATGAAGGAGATTTTGTGACCCTTTGCTGCTATGGACTTGGAGAGCTCCAGGAATGGCGTTATGTGACCAAAAGCAAGCCATGGAAACATAACTACATGAAGCTCCTTCTTCTGCTGCTTGTTGGAGGCCATGTTTGAGTGAGTGTTTTAAATTGGCCAAGTTGTGGTTCCATTGCATTGTTAGGGAGACTTCTTATAGTAGAGCAATTCTCTGAGCTACGTCTTGAAAA